CAACAAAGGCCAAAGCGGCCAAAAAAAGCCCTAATAAACGCCAAACCAAAAGCCTACAAAACTTAAAATGGTGTGACTCCTGCCATACCCAAGTAACATTTCAAGTTTTATCACAGTTTCAAACGAGGGGGCGACTCTATGCACGATGTTAGCTGCGCGCACGCTGAGTGGATAGATAAAAGATTGATGACGATTTTGAAGATTTCCTGCAAAAATTTGATGCGCGATGCAAGATTTTTCGACCATTGATGCGCTAGTGTGAAATTTGTTGAGCATCTTATTGAGATTTAGATGTGTCACCTCCATTGGTTTCAAACATTGTACAAGTCTACATCATAGGCTACAGAACCCTGATAAATCCAAAATTATTATTAGGATTAGACATGGAAAATCATTTACACAAATTTCGTGCATTAATTTACATACATATTTGAGTTACTCGCAACAGTTGTGGTTAGTATTAAACCCTAAAAAAAAACTTCAAACATCATCTTACGGAATTCTGGCGATGAAAAAGTTAGAGAAAAATGAATGCACATGGAAACACGAAATGAATGTAAATGATTTTCCATGCCTGATTAGCATAAAGACACAGTGAAACGACTGAATGGTGCTGAAAAACCAAATCAGACCAAACTTTACCATAAAAGTGTGGAAATGGTCCAACAAAAGAGCCATCAAAAAGCTTGAAATTCGATAAAATGATAAGCATTAAACATACTAAGTCAATCCAAAATGGTCTTTAAAACGATGAAATGGTTTTATAAAGTTAAGTTTTATTAGCTTAAGATGGCCCAGATCATCATCTATTTTGGCTGTAACATAATATTGAAACAAAAAGTCTCAAAATCCTAGAAAAAAATAATTTTGTAAATGCCAAAAAAATACCAAAATGACCTTGAGTAGCCAAAATGGTATGAGAAACGCAAAAAGTCTAAGTATAACTGGCAAAATGTTCTTGAGTAGCCAAAATGGATTTAAAACCGACATAATGATAAACACTAAATAGTTAAGCAAATCTAAAATGGCCATTAAAACGACGAAATGGTTCCGGGTCATTTGGCCGAATACTGATTGGTTCAAAGTGTATAAACGAAGAATTATGAGGCCACATTTCTTTACATGCTGAGTACTTTGACAAAAGGCAAAAATAAAATTCTAATATATCTTAATTTTATGATAAGCAGCATTTGCTGTTCAAAAAAAAAACTAGACATTAAAACTCAAAAAAAAAACTGGGAAAATTTTCCAGTATTAAACTCTTTGTTCACTAAATTTGAGAGCAAGCTGCATTTGCTGTGCCAAAAGCTAAAATTTCAAAGAACTGCTCATGTTTAAAAGTGTGTCCGGCTAAAAATCATGCCGATTACATAACTAAAAACAACTGCTAAAAGAATAATGAATCTATCGAAAATAAAAAAAAAATAAATCTGTTTTTGTACGATTTACAATTTTGAAAATCTTCCCATCTTCACGTCAAAAGTTCAGAATTGTGGAAAATCAAAAGAAATAAAAGCCCCGGATCGTAAAATTCTACTAAACTTGAGATCTGGGAACTTAAAATTACTCCGAACCAAGAGTTTTGAAATACTCAGTAATGTTCGAAAATTGATAATTAATTTTTAAGTATTCGGTCAAACGACCCATTCGGCCAAATGACGTTCAGACACCCTAGTAGCACCCTAGTTGACACAAATCAATTGTAGAAACTTATATACGACTTATTTCAGTCATAAACAAGTTGATGTAACTTTTTTTGATGAAAGTGTGCTACTCGGGCAAATTGCGTTCGGTCAAATGGCGTTCGGCCAAATGTCATTCGGTCAGAAGGCGATCGGCCAAAGGTCATTCGGACAAATGATTGTACACAGATAAAATGGTTATAAAACATCCAAATAGCCTTAAAAAACACCAGATCACCTTCAAATATTAAATGAAACTTAACTTTACCAGACGTCCACATGCCCAAAATAACCATGATAAAGTAAAAATTAACCTAGGGTCGTAATAACTTCAACAAACAGCCTGGGCCGACATTAGAGTCAAGAAAGAGTGATAGATTTTTGACCATATCTTACAATTTGTGACTCTTTATCATATATAACGAATTGTATGGAAAGGTAAAAAAAATTTGAAAGACATCTGTAGTAGAAACTTTTCAATTTGTGTTAAAACCCATTGAGATAGAGAGGCAAAGTGCGGGTTGTGCTTATGCCCAAAATTAGATCTAAGCCATACCGTTTTTTTTATAAATCATCTGAGAGTGCTTCGTTTACTGAACACAACGATATTTTATCGATCCCATAGCCCTTCATCTCACCCCAATGGGTATGGGTTCAATCCCAGCCGAGGACGGTGGGATTTTTCTGAGGCCTAAAAATCTCTGGTCACGTCTTCCTTCGGAAAGGACGTAAAGCCGTTGGTCCCAGCCCATGTGTATTGATGAATGGGTGCGATATCCTACGCAGGCGTGGAAGCTGCCTCCCTGCACATTCGATTGCCGTCATTGGATGGAACAGAGACCGACGATAAATTAAAAAGAAAAGAAAAATCAATTGGTTTTCATCTCACTCCCATACTAAGTACCACCGAAGGGCGCGAAGATAATGTAAAATAGTTCCAGGGCACCAAAATCATAATATTTTGGATTTCGGTTCCATTTATAATGCAGATTACGAATTTATATTTGCTTCAATACCCCCAAACAACCCAATTATTCAAATAACTGTAATGGTAGTAATTGGTTGCTGGTTAAAAAAAAACACATCTAAGGGCCCCTTGGCGGTCAAGGAGTGAGCTGAAAATATGTTAGCTATGTGTCAAAGTGCGAATAAATTCAAGAACTATAAAACAATTGCTATACAGTTCTTCTCCAAAATGTGCGTAGTCTTATTTATCAGCACAAAAACAAAACGTTTAAGACAAATTTGGCTAGAATTTATCACACAATTTCGCGAAACTGATTGTTTGTTTTTAAAACCTGCCCCAGCTTGAGGGGTGCACTGACAAAAAGTTCGGTTTCGCAGTCGATAATAAACGAATGTGCTATAAGCTTCATTGCAACTTACACGTAAACAAATCGGCAACTAGTCAAATTTTGGTATGGGTTTTTTACATCCTCTGAATAGTTTTCTTATGATAAATGCGTCGGCACATCTTACAACAGACTTTTTTCTGACTCAATATTTTCGTACAAAACCACAAACAAGGTGATACTTTATTTAAGTCCAATGCATCGGTAGAAATCAACTGTCAATTCGCTTTTGTTAACAATGACTTCAAACGAAAATTTATCGAAAATGATAGCTTGCAAACTTACACTACCCTGAAGACAAGGTGAAATTTTTCCCAACATCATCCCTGTGTTAGTTTGCCTGAGCGAGCTGTCAATTTCGATAGATTGACGTTTGGAGTAGGTAATTGTATACGAAGCACTAACGTCGATATGGATTTTCGCTATTTGCCTTCCGTCGGCTACATTACAAAAGCTGGATATGCGATGATTTGATACAGATTATGGAAAACAGCAAGAGAATCTTACATTTTTAGTTTCAGTGAATTTCTTCGTTTTCAATCGATCGAGATCATAGTCAGCGATATCAGAGCCAGCATTTCAGAAGGCCTATTTTCTTTGCAAGCAATGTCTTTAGTCGTCGATTTCTCGTGAATAAATGCTCACATCTGCAAATTATTGACATCATCAGGTAGAGGCCAGCGGCCAGCTGGCATCGTTATTATGCAGAAGTGAGCTTTTATTTGAAAGAAATCGGCGGTTGAAGTCATTGTTTACAAAAGCAAGTCCGACCTAACGAAATTATGGCACTGATATGATTGGTGGGGATGTCTACTTTTGAAGTGGGGAGAGTAATACATGTTAGTTTGAAAGTACCCAATAATGAGTAAAATTCGACCCATTTAGAAGTAAAGTGGCTTAACTCTTCGATGGGTAAAAAATATGTATAAATATTGGGAACCAGTTACTCATAAAATGGGTGAAAAGCCACATTACTTCACAATGTGTCAAAGTTCACTCATTAATGGGAGTAAGCGAGTTGATATAGACAGTGTATTAAAAATGCAACCGAAAAATAAAATTTCATCAATGTTGGTGCACTGGAGCTATTTTAAATAAGTGCGATTTCATTAGAAAAAAACCACCATCGCGAATTAAAGCTAAATTTATTTATTTATTATCATTTGGTATAGTTCGTTGGCTTTTACTCGCGAGAAATCGACGATTAGCATGTTTGTTTACAAAAGCAATTACGCCATAATCTCGAAGTTCTCCAGAATTATGATTTTGCTTTGAATCTTGATTTAAAATTCGAGGTAAAAGTCTATTGGATCGAAAAAAAAATCATTGTGCTCAGAAAACAAAGTTCTTTGAGATGATGTATAATAATCGATAATTTTTTCAAAATTCAACGTGGAGATTTAGTCTTGGTGTATATCACATGTTTGTCAACCGGTTCAAAATTTACTCACTCTAATTTTTATCGACGGCCAGTAATCACCCAAATGTGCGAAAGGCATGCCCTTTCCTATGTATTGAGCAAGACCGGCGTGTAAACCGAGCGACAATGACGCGAACGATACTTCCGAAAATGGAAGCAAAAGAACCGGCAATTACTGCGACAGCTCTCTCCCTCCCTAGCGCGCGTCTCCATGTAATGGAAATAAATAGCGCACTATTTAAGGTTACACTGCACGCGTATCGTCTAGAATGCAATGTTTACAAATCGCCCGGCTGTGTTTGTGTACCACACCATGTAGCAACTCGCCACGCCACAGTGACACAGTGACCATATCAGACGCGACGCGAACTGGGTTCACTTTCACGGCCTATCCCGCCGCGGAATTGCTCTAAATTAGTGCCATGTCAAGTGTCAATTGTTTAATAACATTTAATTAATTAATTTTACGCGGCTAGGTTTGGATTGCTTCGATCTCACGTTTCTCACACAGAGCTTTTCTTCTTTCCTTCCCTCTCTATCTCACAGGTGGCGTTGCCCCTGGACCACCAGCAGCTGCCATGATCATGGAAGGGCTTGAAACCTTGGTTGCACCACCGCATCACACATTCCTCCTGACCGAATCAGCGGCTGCAGCGCACTTTAACGTGCTCAGCTTCGACACCTGCGGCCTGTTCAAGACAGCCGCCACGACGACATCGTTGGGCCTCAACAACAACAACTCGACGACGCTCAATAACAATCACCATCACCTGTACCACCCATATCACCACCAGAGCCACACAGCGGCCACTCATCACTCGCAGACGACCACTCATCACCACAGTCACAGTCACCACCAAACGACGGCTCAAACTTCCACCACCTCCAGCTCCACATCTACACCCTCCTCCTCCATCACCACCCAGACAACATCCACCTCAACGTCCTCCACCAATCCCAGTAATTCCCACCACCCACACTTGAGCCTCCTGAGCACAACCTCGACCACCGGTCATCACTCCTCGGACTCGAACCTGCACCAGTCCTCCGAAGACCAGTCCCAGTCGCAGGGTGACGCTCAAACCGGCGATCTCAACACACCCGTCACAACCTCCGGGGACATCCCGTCCTTCTTCGGACCGTCGACCGTCGTAGAGCCACCACCCATCACAGGTAAGTCTCGGCCCATTTCTCCACCTTCTTCCATTATCTTTATGCGTCCGATTAATGACAAAGTGCCACCCCCTATCAATTAACGGAGTCCACCTCCCTGCGGAAGATTAATCAACATTAGCCTGGTACCGCTTGTCTGCACCCTTGTGTGCTGTGTTGGCAGTGCGTGTGCTGTGCAACCAACCCGGAGAACCATTGAGTGCTCGCCCGCGATAGAGGCGCTAATCCGACAATCACGCTCAGCGCGCGCTGCTACTTCAGACGACGCTTCTTCGCGGGTCTCAACCGCTTCGTGACTGATCCTCCGAGCGCGTGAATGCAAACACGCGGGAGCATTCCGAGATAATGCCAAAAGCTAATAAATAATAAATGCTCTCTGATGCTACTGCAGAATAGCAGTGCCCCTTCGGGGCATAAATCAGACCTCCGTTGCTCGGCACCCCCACCATCCGGGGAAATTGTCCTAAAAACGGCGCCAACATTGTATAGCGAGCGCCTAGTTTTTGACTAGATCCTTGCGTGCCAATAAATTTGCCAAATATGTTGACTGCTACATTGCACTCGCCCGCTGCATATGACCGACTGGTTATTATTAAATATGACTGTTTAAAAACAAACCGAAAAAGAAAGTAGACGAAGCAAATAAATTTACCCCTGCCCTTCCCTCCTGACCCAACCGTCGTCGGTCGGTCGGTCGGTAGGTCGGGCAGAGTTGGCAACTGTAAATTAGTCGTGGAAAAGTGCGAGATTCCAGAGCTTGTAGCTGTAGTAGATCGCTTTAATGATGGTCGGAGGGCAATAAAGTCACCTCCTCTCCCCCCCTCCCCCTCCCCCTGCCACAAGAAAGCCGTGTCAGATCAGAAAACTTGTTGCCGCACGCCGCCAAGGGAAATTTTATGCACGCAAATGACCGCAACGGCGTGCGGCCGACGGCGGTGGCAACTATTTCACAGAGAGTTGACAATGTTCTAGGCAGCCGGCCGTATGCCAAAACTGCCAATGTGCTGCAGATCAAAACTGCACTACTAGCAACAGCAGCAGCGCCAATTATTATGGGGCCAGTTGAGAAAGATGCGTTCTTTGAACCGGGTCATCAGCACGCGCGAGGGTGGCAGATGTTTCGAGGCGATTGCTTATAAGTGGCGTATGATTGCCGTAATTTTGGGAAATTTTTCAATCACTTCCAGTTGAATTTGATGAAAGGCGTAATGCAATGAACTTTCTGAAAACTTGGCTCACATCCGTCATGCGTCCTATTAATGGGACAGAACTTTACTTGCTAAAGTTCATTAAACTAGATTTAAATTTTTGAACTTGTAAAGTACCGTGGAAGCCCCTAATATTATGTATTTCGGGTTCTTTTACTTATCCTGGAGCATTAATCTTGATGTTTTGCAGGCTTCACAAAGCCTTGTATAATGTCCTCCTTTCTCCTTGCTTTGTTTTCCGTGTTGAGCACCAATGCTACCGACGCCAGGAAGGCAACTGCCACACCTGGACCCTACCTATCGACCCATCAACTCATGAACCGGGGACCAAAGACTTTACATCCCTTGGCGTGATCAGGGATGTTAAAGTCTTGTATAATGTCCTGATTTATTAAACGATTACGTAACGCCTTATGGGACCTCATCATAACATGTGTGACATAATTTGTATCAGCAAAATATTTTAGATTCTCCAAATTGATGTGATAGTAATTTTTATTTTTTAAGACCATCAGAAATTCTATTATCGTATTACGTTGGTAAGGAATAATTCTCAAGACCATCATCTGATGAAAACTTCAAACGAAGACCATCAGATATGATCTTATCACACCAGGAGGACCAGGACTATAAGAAATTTAATCCTTCAGATATGCTCTCATCCAGTATTGGTATTGGTAGTTTCGGGTCGCGTTCGGATGTAAAGTAAAAATCATGAAACTCAAACTCACCACGGTCTAGGTAGAATTGTTGCTGGTGAGTTTTGTTAGTTTTATATTCGTAGCTACGATATCCGCTATCATCCACAGTTGCTTGCTTGTTGATTTTTGCCTACAAAAAGCAAGCGTGATCTTGGGCATTGGTGAGATTTGAGTGTTTGATATTTTCCCAACATTGCTCTCATCGTAATAGAATTATAAGGAATAATTCTTAGCACATTCAGTCATTTAGATCAGGGTGATCAAGAGTGATCCTGAAATTCTTTAGAATATCAAATATTATCAGAATGGCCACTGAACCAGGAATCGTATGCAACTGAGAAAAACCAGGAAATAGTCGGCCATTTGATCGGCATGATTCTAATTTTTTGAAACCTATAATAATCGAATTCTATTAATAAAAATGATAAGTTCGATGGATCAATCATTTCTTTTTGAATTCTGAAGATTTCTTCCGGCTCAAAATTCTTAACATTTTCACACTATAATAAAAATTAAACCTGAGGTTTGCCCCAGAATTAAAAAAAATGTTAAATTCAAGATCATGACAATTATCCAAAATAACACCAGTGAGAATCTCAAACAATTTCGAAGCCTCAATCACACGATATTTTGATAAATTTGCAATGTCCAATGTCTGGCATTGTTAACATGTTTGTTAATTTTAAAACCTTGAAATCTTTTCAAGTCACAGAATCTGCCAAATCCCTGCATGGTTTGAGTTTTGAGTTTACGTCCGGCGTATAGAAGATCACAGGTGATCCTTTTAGGCTTGGTTTCAAGATAGTAGTCATATCATCATTTAGTTGCTTGAAATGATGCGGATTATGCGGATGCTTAATTCACCTAGAATACTCCTCCGAATTCCCTTCGGATGCTGAAATTCCTTCTCATTTGCTTCATTGTTCGATAATTTATTTATTTGATAAGGCTCAACCGAATTAACTTTACAGAGCCGAGGATTCTTGTTCACTATACAATACATCTTAAAACTATAGTCAAAAGGTACAAAACAATAAACACTTGATCTTCAGCTATCCAATAAGCCTCCTCCATCAGAACGGGAGCTGCTTCCAGTGGTTTCATTGTATGGCAGTATCGCCAACGGGGTGAGAGCGCTTCCATTGCATCAATGGACGCAAAATGTGGTCATCACTCACACACTCATCACTAAACGGTTGTTTTCCAAAGTCGACGACGCATCGACCGACAGAACTGTTGATAAAACACAATTGTTGCTGCCGAGTAAACAGACGATCGTGTGACAGATATCGAGAGTGGCCTGTTTCTTTCTACAGCCGAGTGAACACTGGGATCTCATTTGCTTTAGAATGCCATGAAAAATAACCTTTTGAATTCTGGATTTTGCCTTAAATTCACTATTTAAATCTGCACAAGCATCCACAAGCTCCAGCATCCACAAATTAAAAATGGATGGGGATTCAATGTTATTGGATACCAAGCTTGATTTCTTCGAATTTATGTAATTTTCCGAGAGGAACATCGGACAAAATGGACAACTTCCTGTGCAGCTTGAGCAGCCAGCTCAATATGGGACCTACGCCATATGCCATAGTGCTTCCATTTCCCGGCCGTTTTTGGATAACCGGGAATCGGGAAACAGCTGATTGGTTCTTCCCAGGCATGGCCAGCAATCGGGAAATGCGGGTATCCAGTGACCAGATAGATTTTTCAGAATGTTTACTTCTGTTAAACGATCCACGAAGAATTATTACTTCTCCTGGAATTACTTACTTACTTTTCAGGAAGTTTTTTTCCGACCAAATGCGTCCGAAATTTTATTTCAGTGTCCCATAAAAATTTCGTCTAGAAGTCCTCCTTTTTTTTAAGACTTTATTAAAGTGATTTTTAACCGAATCATTACATAATAACTCCTTTTGATTACCTCTGCAAAAAATTTCTTTCGTGTTCCCTCTGTAGTTTCTCATAACTACCTTCAGAATTATCATATGGAAGATTTTTCCGAAATCTCCCCCAAAGCTTGTCCCGGTAGGCCTTTTAATTCCTTCCAGCATCGACTGGGGGTATCAGTTTTTTAACAACCTTCCGGTTTCCCCTAAAAGTTTCTTCTAACTGTCCCCTAAAACCTTTTTTCCAGGTAGCTTTTCTAACTTCACAGGAAGTTTCTTCCGAGTTTTGGAAGTTTCTCCAGACTTCCCTGTGATATGTTTTCCGGCATCTCTCAGATGTTGTATTTAAATCAAACTTAGTCTAAATTAGTCCAAGTGAAATACTCAAAGGTCATTTCTCGCTCCCTTGGAGATGACTTCTTCCTTATAAGATGACAAGTTCTTTGACAGAAGAAAATCGTTTCACGCTCCGGTGGAGTTGACTTCCCTAATAAACGGATATTTTTTCTCCTCTGCTCGGGGCCTAACACCACTGCGATTTAGTAATTTGATCTATTGTAGTATATCCCGTGTCCTTAGTTTAGTGCATGTCGTATTACTCCATCACTATTGAGAAATGATGAAGTATTCGATTTTTTTACGGTTGTCATTATTGCATTTATCGCAAGGATCCGACTCTAATTGAGAGGTCCTGCTCTTTATACCCTTCGAAGTGTTGAAACACCCTCCAAAGGCGCGCCCCTTTGTCAGTCAAAATTGGATTCCTTAGCAACAAAATTAAGGAATTACATTGATAATGACCATGCATCAGAACCCTAGTCTTAACCACTTCAAACTAGGGAACAACTAATAGAAGATTAGGAATCACATAGATGAAGACTAACTAACTCATTTTTTTCCTTGTTTCAAGATCATCCTCGGTGGGCAAAGCCGAGTCTTGTCACTATCAACAAGGCATAAAAAGTAACAAGGACTAATATGTGTTCCTTTGATTACTGAAAAATCCTGTTCCCCAAGTTTGAAGTAGTCAGGACTAGGAATCGGTGGTAGATCTTACATCCCGTAACGTACCACGAAAAGGTGATCTACCCACATTACGGGGCAATAAACGGATAACATACACTAACGATATCGTATATGGTTCGACCATACCACATAAAGTTTAGATGATATCCCGCATTGGTGGTTAGGCGCTTCTAATG